GACTGGAGGGGGCAGCGCCTGGGCTGGAACCATCCACGTCACGTGCGGCCCCGCGCGGGTTAACCCCTCGGAGGCCGGGAGCCCCCAGATTCACCCCAACCCGAGTATCCGAGGCGGTTGGAGGACCAGGGAAGGCCCTTTTGTCTGCCCATCTGGGTGAGGCCCTTGTTCAGAGCAGTAACCTTGGTCCTGATATCCGGTCTAGAGGGGGTGAAGCCGTTTGGGATAGAGTCCTCCCTCCATCTTCCCCAAACGAATTTGTAGTCCGGGCCAGGATAAGGACCACGGCAGGTAAGGGCTGGGACTTCATTACCTCTTTGCTGGGACCTGGGAAAATGTTGCCTCCAGTAAAAACCACCTCCCTTAGAGATCTCGTTTCTCACAGGAATAGGAGTCATCGGAGTGTTGTTTGAAACAGCTCTGACCCGGGGCTGGGGGCTGGGCGCTATGCTGGCTGTGGGACCTTGAACCAGCCGGCTGCTGCCCTCATCTAACTGGTCAACCGAGTCAATCCTCAATCTTTGTATATTCCTGGTGGGTCTGAAACAGGGGCAGGGCTGGCGCAGACAGGGAGACTCGCAGGGGCAACCAGAGGCTGCCTTTGGAGCAGGTGGTGGGGTAGTTGTCGGGTTCGGCATGGAGTGACTGCCTTCAGCGGACAAATGACCTGGAGGTGCCCGGGGACCCACTGTGGAGAGGCCCCCTGCAGCTCAGACCCAGGGCTCTGCTGCCCCTGGCCTGCCTTTTGCAGGGAGGGGAGGGGAGGATCATATGGAGAGTTGGGGCTCTCCAGCCTCGGGGAAGGAGGACTAGCACAGTAGCTCAGAATTTCTGAAAAGAGAACCGACCAGCCAGCGAGCTAAGATCCGGTCAGAAATACCAGAGGGTCCTGCTCACTTCTGTGGACTGAGGAGTCCCTACGTCTGGGTCACATGGGTTTTTTATTTTTATTTTCAGTGCCTCACGAGACCAGTGAGAAAGGTGGGGAGTCAAACATCATTTGTATTTCATTTGAATTCTCAGTTTTTAAAGGAATCCAAGAAGCCTGGTGTGAACACCTCCCTCTTCCGCTGGGGGCTGAGGGGGGGTTTCTTGGCTGTCCTCAGCCGGAGTTGGGCTATAAATCAAGGCCAAACAGGAACCAGAAGCCTTGCATCTCGAAAGTAGTCATTAAGCCATTATTAAACATCCCGTAACTTCTCTGAAGCCTTATTGGTTTAAACACCACATTGGAGGCATTATGGCCATTAGGGCCCCTAATCACAGCCTGCAGACGGCAGCGAGGAGAGCACCTGGGGCTGGGACTTCCAGCCGAGAGGGAGGCTCAGGGCCCAATGAAGTTCCTCTCTGGCCTCGCCACTCGAGTTCGTTCTTTGGGACCCAGTGGATCCCGGCGCTGGGCAAGCAGCCTGTATGGTCATTGTTGACCACTCGTCACGTTTTCCAATAGTTATTGGGTTGCATGTGTGTGGGTATCCTTTTCCTTTCAGGAGGATGTTAGTGTTGACAAGGGACACCCTTGTCTATTCAGCGAAGGCATCTAGCCGCTCACTGTGGAGGACACAAGTCTGACCCGGGAAAAGTGTCCCCACCAACAGCGTAAGCGAGGCAGCCTGGCTTAGATGCCAAGCGTTTTGCCTCCGGGGATAAAGTAGGCCTTCGTTTTTTCGTCATAAAAATGGGCCATGCCCATGGACGAGGGGTATTTGAAAAGCACTTATGTTTCAATGGATGTGATGAACTGTGTTAATTTAAGAGACGGTTAATATCGTGACACTATTCAGAAGCCGCAGACTTCTGGGTTATATCACCGAAGTGAGGGGAGGCTCCTGCCCCCGGACTGAACGGGCCAGAGGCTGGGGCTGAGCAGACAGACATGGGGACCGCCACCCCTTCCCAGACCCAGCAGTTCCCCCTGGCATTCCCCCACTCGAACAGGCCAACTTCCATGCCGAGACGGTGTTGCCAGCCAAACTGAGGCGGCAGGCGGCCCCTGATTCACCCGCAGGTTGGATGGGTGGCTGGAGTTGCCCCCTGGGAGGGTTCTGTCCCAAGACCATGCAAGTCAGGGCACCTAGAGGAGCCTGTGCAGCCCCCTTTTAAATCACTGGTGCAAACTCTTCTCTTGCGTCATACATGTTCTGGGATGCGTTTGATGGGGCAGGTGCATCAAAAATGCAAAAAAAAAAAGGGCACCTCAATGACTGAGTTTTCCTTCTTACGAGGGCTGAGAGGTCCGGAGGACCACAGGACCTCACTGTGCAGATAACAGATGAGAACACAGCCCTTCCCGTATGCCAGGCACTACCTCATGGGGCCTATGTGCACTGACTCACTGAAGTCTCACAACAACCTCAGGAAGTAGGCACAGTTCTCCCCGTTTTACAAAGAGACGGAGCCACAGAAGGGAGCCGGCTGTCCAGGGTGGACACAGCCACTTAGGGGCAGGACCGGAATCTGCGTGCAGATCCAGGGTCTCCCAGGCCTTCTTCAGCTAACACCAGGCAGCTGACATCACGCGAGGCACACCCTCCTCTTCCCAGAGGGAGGACGGTCAGGGCTTCTCTCTGAAAGGGGAGACGTGAGGCCAGCCTGATGGGGGACAGGGCTGGTCCTGGGTGGAGTCCCACGCTGCCTTCCTGCTTGCCAAGCGGCAGTTTCTGGAGACTCGCGCGGCACCCAGCTGCGGTGGCCCTGCAGTAGGTGGGGAGTGGTGTCTGCTAAGCCGAGACGAAATGAAACAGCGCGCCTAACACCTGAGAGGTTTTACGACCCACGGGCACAGCCAGATGTGAGGCAGAGTTTAAAGAGAATTTGTAAGTTCACCGTTCACACCGTTTAATAACCAGTTGGGTTGCAATAGCGCTTGGCACTGATGGGTTGTCCATGGACCCAGCGAGATGAACTGACCAGATGATCCAGAAAATTCTAGGTCCTGTCATGAAAAAAAACAAAAAAAAAATCTTAAAAAAGAAAATCTCTGTGCCTGCTGAGAAAATGGAAATGACACCCACTGGCTGTTTCTATGCAAGTGTTTCACGCTGGCTAATTGCGTAATCCACCCGTTTAATAAGAGGACCTACTATGTGACGGGCATTTGCTGGCACTGGGAGGCAGCAGAGAGCAAGCCGGATGGACCCCTGTCTTCACGGAGCGTGCACCCTGCTGGGATGGTGGGGTCTCCTCCGCATGGACAGTCATAATGTGGACGTGAGGGAGGAGAGCAGAGTTCGGACTTCTCGCCTCCACTGTAGGGTCAGTTCTTGAATCCGGGACACTTCCGTCCCTAATAGCACTTTTAGTTTCCACTTCCCTCCGCCCACACCCCAGGAAGGCGTGTGCCCTCTTTTCTCCCAGGGGAGATCCAGAGGGGTGGGGACAGCGGGAGAGAAGCGACCCCACCTCTGACATTTGTTTGACACACATAAAACTTCCTTCTGGACAGAACAGTCCCTTGCCTTCTTTTCTCTTAAAGGGAAGACAGTCAGGATTCCCCTCACCCTGTTTCGACTGAAACCCTGCATGGATCCTTATGAAAGTTCTGGGTTTGGGCGCAAAGTCGATTGTTTCTCATTAGTGACATTCTTCCTGGAAGGTCAGGCTCAGGAATGGTAAATAAACGTGCAGATCCGGTGCTTCCTCCTCAGCCATGATATTTAAAAGAAAGAAAGAAGGGGGCTGGGGGGCGGGGGGGAGGCTCTGGGCTGTGGATACCCAGAATCCTTGCCTGTGGTTCTCACCGTCCAGGCTGACGCCTGTGTCTCTGAGTAAGATTTCTGGGAAGTGAGGGACCTATTTCTCCGCTTCCGCTGATTTCATCTGTCCTTCCGCCGACTGTGCCGCCCCTTCTCCCCTGGGAAACCGAGAGGAGCGATTCTGTAGTTCAGCTTCGCTGGAGCGACCCAGACCCTGTTTATTCAGACATTTCTTGAGCCTGGCTCCACCCCAAGCCTCTCTCTCTCTCTGCCCACCTCCCTGGGGCTGCGAGGTGGCGCTCGGCCTGGGATTGGCAGCATCCTGCGGGCCGGTTTACCCGTATCTGCCTCACTCATGGCCTTTGTGTGACGTCTGTAACTGGTTCTGGGGCAAGTGCCCACATGGACCACACTCCTCCCGTTTTGTGGGGATTCTTTGATGAACTCGCGCTTTGTGTAAAACAGAAGGGACCAGGTTGAAATTTCTTGGCAATTCTAACACTTGGATCAGTTAATCTTATGCGTTCGTTTATTCACCAATCCTTTACCGAATGCTGGCCATGTGCTAGCCGGGGCTGCACCATGAGGAGAGTTGGACCACTCACTCTGAGGGCTTTGCCGGACTAGCCAGAGAGCACGGGGCGTCATGGGCCGTGCGACAGGCACCTGTCCAGGCCTTGGGTTGGGGGCAGCTGTCGTGGAATGCTTCCAGACTGAATCCATGAGGTGCTTCCAAGTTGAGGGGTGGGGGGTTAGCCAGGGGAAGGCGTGCGGAGGGGCAGGGAGAGAGGGCATTCCAGAGAGAACAGCCCGGAGGTGAGAGTGAAGCCAAAGCGCTTGGGGAACTGGGCTTTGTTGAGTGTTGCTGGAGCCTGGGCGGGAGGAGGGTAGGGGTTGGGCCAGGAGGAAGCGAGACAGTGGTGTCCCCAGGAATCAAGGGAAACTCCAGGGGGAGGGCAGGTGGCTCCACAGGCATCGGTCCATGTCTGCCCACCCGGCTCTGGATTCTCTAGTGGGGGAGGCAGGGAGGAGGAAGCCCAGGCCAAGCCCAGCAGGCAGGTATGAGGAAACCATGAATATAACAACTGTTGCCGGAGCTGAGAGGTGGAGAGTTGAGTAGACAGGCCTGTGGGGAGCCTGTGATGCGGGCCGGGTTGGGGCCTGGGTGGGTGCCTGCAGGGCTTTCTGGAGCTGAGCTTTGGCTCTTGCGGGAAAGCCGGCCAAGGCCCGGCTGACCTCACTTCGGCAGGAAATCCATTGGTTCCAGAGTGCCGATTCCAGATTTGTTATTTTCCAGGGCTAACAAGTATGTAATTATCACATTTGGGGCCCTTCGAAAGAAATGCAAGCACACACCACTGAACACCCTGAGAACAGGGGTGGGACCCAGCCCGGAGTTCTGGAAGGTGCTGCCCACCATGGCACAGACACATCTGTCCAGTCCAGTGTTTCTCCCACGGTGGAGGAAGAGAGAGAGTCAGGCCTGAACTTGACAAGGGACCAGGAGAAAAGCAAGTGAAGGAGGTGGGAGGGCTCTGCCCAGCTCCTCTGGGGTCTCCAGCGGAGAGGTGGGGGGATGGGTAATAATGATGATACCCACCCCCAACAGGACACCTACAGCGTTCAGGCCAACACCATCTCACTTCATTTTCAAGTCCCGTTTCACAAAAGATGAAACTGGGATCGGTCTGTGTATTAGTCGCCTAATGCTGTATAACAAAGCACCCCAAAACTTAGCGGCTTCAAACTAAGTCCCTGACTGTGGTCCCAGGAATCCAGGAGCAGAATGGCTTAGTGGTCTGTCTTGGGGTGTCTCATGACCCCAAGCCAGGTCTTGGCCGGGCTAGTTTTCTGAAGGCTTGGCCTGGGCTCAGGACTTGGTTCCCAGGGGCTCGCTCACTCGGTTGGCAGGTTGGCGTTGGCTGCTGATGGCAGTTCCTCCCCATGGCTGCTTGTGTGTCCTCCCAACCCGGCAGCTGGCTTCCCCCACAGCGAAGGGTCCAGGAGACCGAGGTGGCGGCTGCAATGCCTTTTATGACGTAGGCCTCGGAACTCATGCCATTACGTCTGCCATGTTCTACTGGTCGCGCATAGATTTCACGTCGAAGATCCCACAAGCATGGCTCCTCGGGGGCCATCAAGGAGGCTCCTGCCATGGGCTGATTCAGGAAACTGCCAGGTCCCACCGGGCTGTGCTCATTGGGAGTCTAACCCAGGCGGCCGGACCCCAGGGGTGAGGCCCCGATGACAGGTGGTGGGTCCCAAGGACCAACACCATCTCACTTCATTTTCAAGTCCCATTTCACAAAAGATGAAACTGGGATCGGTCTGTGTATTAGTCGCCTAATGCTGTGTAACAAAGCACCCCAAAACTTAGCGGCTTCAAACTAAGTCTGTGACTGTGGTCCCAGGAATCCAGGAGCAGAATGGTTTAGTGGTCTGTCTTGGGGTGTCTCATGACCCCAATCCAGGTCTTGGCCGGGCTAGTTTTCTGAAGGCTTGGCCTGGGCTCAGGACTTGGTTCCCAGGGGCTCGCTCACTTGGTTGGCAGGTTGGCGTTGGCTGCTGATGGCAGTTCCTCCCCATGGCTGCTTGTGTGTCCTCCCAACCCGGCAGCTGGCTTCCCCCACAGCGAAGGGTCCAGGAGACCGAGGTGGCGGCTGCAATGCCTTTTATGACGTAGGCCTCGGAACTCATGCCATTACGTCTGCCATGTTCTACTGGTCGCGCATAGATTTCACGTCGAAGATCCCACAAGCATGGCTCCTCGGGGGCCATCAAGGAGGCTCCTGCCATGGGCTGATTCAGGAAACTGCCAGGTCCCACCGGGCTGTGCTCATTGGGAGTCTAACCCAGGCGGCCGGACTCCAGGGGTGAGGCCCCGATGACAGATGGTGGGTCCCAAGGAGTGGCTGTGTTGATGGGTGAAGAAGAGGACCTGAGGGGCATGGCCGCGTGTCTGGCAGGCAAGTGGCAAAGCCCCCTGGACCGTGAGAACCATACTGTCTGTCCTGAGGAAGACTAGGAGGTCCCGGATGGGGGCAAGCTGGCTGTGCCCTGGCTTTTCTGCACCCGAGTGTTCGGCTGTCACAGCAGGCACGCTCCTCGGGGCTTCCTCGGGACAGTGAGCTGATCTTGGGGCTCCACGGGGCTCATCGTTCTTGTGGGTGAAGGAAGGAAGCAGACGCGCCTTTTCTCTGAGGAGGGCATTACAGCCCCTGTTCGTGTTGTTGGAGGCTTAGCACAGTGACCCCTGACCTTAGGCCTTGAGCTGACCGACGGGGAAGGAGGCGGTGCTGAGAGCCTGCTGTACGTTAGGTCCACACTAGCCACTCGCCATCATCTGATCTGCTCAGGAGGTGGCTGTGTTATTTCTACTTTACAGACGAGGAGACAGAGCTCAGAGAAATGAAGTCGTCCATGGGCCCACACTCCTACACGATGGAGCCAAGAGGGCCTCCTGCCAGGGGCCTCACCAGCTGGCACCGTCCCCAGCGTGTCCCGCTGCCTGTCCCAGTGGATCTGAGCACTCGGGGCAGAGACTGTGCTGGGCAGAACGGGGGTCCCTCACTCCAAAGCTGGGGTAGACCCTTCCCACTCGACTCTTTTCTTCTGGGGGCACAAGATTTGGACACATGGACAGATGGACAGCTACGCAGTAACACGCTGTTTGCAAGTGTGAGACGGGCTGCCCCTGCCGAGGCTCAGGACTTGGTTCCCAGGGGCTCGCTCACTCGGTTGGCAGGTTGGCGTTGGCTGCTGATGGCAGTTCCTCCCCATGGCTGCTTGTGTGTCCTCCCAACCCGGCAGCTGGCTTCCCCCACAGCGAAGGGTCCAGGAGACCGAGGTGGCGGCTGCAATGCCTTTTATGACGTAGGCCTCGGAACTCATGCCATTACGTCTGCCATGTTCTACTGGTCGCGCATAGATTTCACGTCGAAGATCCCACAAGCATGGCTCCTCGGGGGCCATCAAGGAGGCTCCTGCCATGGGCTGATTCAGGAAACTGCCAGGTCCCACCGGGCTGTGCTCATTGGGAGTCTAACCCAGGCGGCCGGACCCCAGGGGTGAGGCCCCGATGACAGGTGGTGGGTCCCAAGGAGTGGCTGTGTTGATGGGTGAAGAAGAGGACCTGAGGGCATGGCCGCGTGTCTGGCAGGCAAGTGGCAAAGCCCCCTGGACCGTGAGAACACACTGTCTGTCCTGAGGAAGACTAGGAGGTCCCGGATGGGGGCAAGCTGGCTGTGCCCTGGCTTTTCTGCACCCGAGTGTTCGGCTGTCACAGCAGGCACGCTCCTCGGGGCTTCCTCGGGACAGTGAGCTGATCTTGGGGCTCCACGGGGCTCATCGTTCTTGTGGGTGAAGGAAGGAAGCAGATGCGCCTTTTCTCTGAGGACGGCATTACAGCCCCTGTTCGTGCTGTTGGAGGCTTAGCACAGTGACCCCTGACCTTAGGCCTTGAGCTGACCGACGGGGAAGGAGGCGGTGCTGAGAGCCTGCTGTACGTTAGGTCCACACTAGCCACTCGCCATCATCTGATCTGCTCAGGAGGTGGCTGTGTTATTTCTACTTTACAGACGAGGAGACAGAGCTCAGAGAAATGAAGTCGTCCATGGGCCCACACTCCTACACGATGGAGCCAAGAGGGCCTCCTGCCAGGGGCCTCACCAGCTGGCACCGTCCCCAGCGTGTCCCGCTGCCTGTCCCAGTGGATCTGAGCACTCGGGGCAGAGACTGTGCTGGGCAGAACGGGGGTCCCTCACTCCAAAGCTGGGGTAGACCCTTCCCACTCGACTCTTTTCTTCTGGGGGCACAAGATTTGGACACATGGACAGATGGACAGCTACGCAGTAACACGCTGTTTGCAAGTGTGAGACGGGCTGCCCCTGCCGAGGGACAGACACGCGCAGGAAGGGCTGGTGCTTTCCAAGGTCACTTCCAGGCGGAGAAGAACACCCCTGGGTGGTCGTGAGCACCAGGCCCTGGACTCCCAAGTGCACAGCCCCGGGGACCACGAAAAAGGGCCACTCCCTGTCACGGAGACATCTTGGAGCTCTCCGAGCTGAGCAACATGCGGGCAGGTGGAGAGGAGGTGGTGGCCGAACCCCGGCCACGGGGACAGGACATCCGTGCAGGGAGCGTGGCTGCCTCCAGCGGAGGGTTTTGTGAAGGAGCCGCAGATGTGCCACTGGGGGCTGGGCAGGCCCGGGATGCGCAGGTGTGGAGAGCGGAGCCCCTCTCCTCAGGCAGTGGGCACCCCGAGAGTGTTGGGAAGCGGCGGAGAGGGCTCGGCCCCCAGGCGTGCTCCACGGGCGTCAGCGTTATTCCTGCTGCTGCTCAGCAGCACAGTGAAGGCTGTGCTTTGGGAAGATAATTTTGGCAGCTTGAGCAGAATAATAGTGGTGATAATACCCAGCATTCATTGAGCACGTACTATAGGCCAGGCCCTCAGTACCTTCGCTTATTTAATTCTAACTTCCTTTTGAGGGAGGTGCCATTATCTCCATGTCACAGATGAGAAAACCAGGGCACAGAGAGCGTCAGTGACTCACCGGAGGAGCC